TGTACCTGATAATGACAAAACCTTGTCGAAACGTTGTACATTTGCTGTTATGTTAAACTTATATTAAAGTTTTTCTTCATTACCCATTCAAGCCGTCTCCAGCCATTATTAAACTGTAATAACATTGGAGTATACTAACATTATGTTTTTTGTACTTCCTCTACGAGTAATGAGTACTTTAGTCTTTAAAGAGCTACGAGTAACTTACTGTTCATGGAAGGTGGAGCTGTCTTTATCAGGGCCAACGTAACTCAAACAAATACCAAAGGGTAAGACGTCAGTCAAAAGCGTTAGTTTTATCTCTTTGTGGGTGTGGGTGTGTTTCCCTTGATGAAGATAGTTGTATTTGATATATCAAACGTTTTTTTTCTTACTGTTCTTGGGTTTTGTCTGTTTCAAATCAAGTAACTTGGCGCTTTTTTTTTACACACTTGTATGTTTTATTTCGTGACACACACATATAAATATACCTTTAAATTCGTTATAGATAACACTGGTTGCAAATGCTGAGAGTCCATTTAAGCTTCAAAGATCACCCTAGGCGCCTGTCGTGTTGACAACAGTGAAGGCAGTTAAGGTTGAAGACAACCGATATTCCCATTCTGTCAACCATGAAACTTTGCATTAGAAATAACTTGCGCTTCCGGTAATGTACTTCTGTGAGATTGAATACTTCTGGTGAAGAAAAAAAAAAACACGTTATTTCCCATACATATTGTTATTTCGTTTTCAGGTATGCTTTCATTTCCCCAATTTTATTACTGACGCCTATTATATGATAAACAAAGGTATAACTTAGCAGTTTTAGATATGTCGAATTTCCTCTTCAAAATATCAAGTTTTAATAAAGTGGTTTTTACTCATTCTAAATATCACACGGCCTGGCATGGCCAGGTGGTTAGGGCGCTCGACCTTGCAATCTGAGGGTCGCAGGTTCAAATTCCCATCCCACCAAACATGCTTACCCTTTCAGCCGTAGGGGCGTTAGAATGTAACGGTCAATCCCACTATTCGTTGGTAAAAAAGTAGCCCAAGAGTTGGCGGTGGTTGTTGATAACTAGCTGCCTTCCCTCTTGTCTTTCACCCCTAAATTAGGGACAGGTGGCGCAGATAGCCTTCGTGTAGTTTGGAGCAAAATTCAAACTAAATACCACATACCCCGTGAAACCTTGAAAAATGTGCAAGTTTCAAGTGTTTATATTAATGATTATAACACTATCTGACTTGCGAAACGTTGGAAGTCAGACGATATTTATAGTTACTAGTTAATGAAGCGTCATCAGTCTTTTAAAACTTTGGAATACAGAAAACGTATTTATTTCTTATATTACTGAAACATCATATGCCTTATACCACCTTTAAATATATACTGTATATATATGACGTTTCTGTTTTTTGTTGTCGAAATACAGCCTGTCTCCTGAAACTGAAGATACGCGCTTTTAGTTTCTTTGTTACTGAAAGTGAAACGTCATCTGTCTTGTGAAACCGAAAATACACGTTTTTAGTTTCTTTGTTATTGAAACGTTGTCTGTCTTGTGAAACCGAAGATAGATGTTTCTAGTTTGTTTATTACTGAAACGCCGTTTACCTTGTTACACCGAAGATGTAGTCAATATTTGTAGTGTCAGCATCACTGAAACACTACCTGCCTTAAGATTTTATTGTTTTGTTTGTTTGTTGAGCTACAAAATTAGCTATCTGTACTCTGACCACTACGGATATAGAAGCCCGATTTTAGCGTTATAAGCCTTCAGGCTTGCCGCTGAGCGACCGAGGAATGGGAGGTGGCGGGATTTATTGATTACATCTTTTGCAAATGTTGTATTTATTTTAAATTTCATGTCTAATATATTTGTTGTTTGTTGTCTTTATTCTGAAATGTGTAAAAATACGTGCCATATTTCGAAAACAAAATTTACAAAAGTTAGTGGCCCAAACAGTTTGAGAGTGGTAAATTTTGTCTTTTTTTCTGCAAACACAGTGACTAATGTTCTGAATTGTCATTGGCGCAAATACGCGAATTAGCGTCGCATTATACTTTCATTTTAAATTCCAATAACTTCAGTTTCGCGTATAATCATAACACACAGGTAAATCATAATTATTGTCCTTCTACCAAACAATAATTTAGTATAATTTCATTCACCATTGACCAATGGTTTGGGAGCTGCATAACAAAATGTACATAGATTAGCTCTTGAAACAACGCACTGATGCGTCCAAGCGTTCGTCTGTCTCCCCTTTCGACGGAAGCTTTC